TTGATCTAGACTGGTGAGCAAAGCAAAGCGAAACAAAGAAAACATTTGAAGCAGGCATGTTGGACAGAAATAGAGAATTTATTTAACCATCCTTTTTATGATTATGTTCTTTTTTTCTTTAAATATAAGGTATATTCCATCCCTGGGAGCCACACAGAGCTATTTAAATTGATCCCTGTGGTGTATATTTAGAGACAATCAGCAGAGAATTTTCTGCAGAGAATTTTATCATGCAGTCAATTTTTTTCTGACTTCTGGAACCCCAGAATTTTTCTACGAGGAAAGATAGGCATAACAAGAACTGTTTATGGAGCAAAGAAGCATCAAGATGGAACACAAGGATGTGCTCCTTGATTTCTGCCCTTGGTGCTCCACTCCCCCACTCTCAGCCCACTGGAGAGTGCGGACATATTCCTCATGGGTGCATGGACAAGAGAGTAAAGGACCTCCAGGTCAATCACGGTGACCGAAGTTGCTTTGACCACTTTGTTTGCTGTTTGCTTTGAAATGCTCCTGGACGCACTCCCAGCCCCACTGGTAACAGCCTGATTGTTGCTCAGAAACGGGATAACACTGGTGATGAGAACATGAGCATTAGACCCTATGGTGAATAGTAAGTCATTGTGCCCAAATTTGGAGAGAAGAGGTTCGTGAAGGAGGGAGGCACCATGGTAAAAATTCAAGAATGTTTGGAGACCTCTATACAGAGCGTTAATAACTTTAATCTGCAGAGTTCAGACATTCATGATGGAGTGTTCCCCTCTCTACCTTTGAGGACCCTGTTCTCTAGTATATATAGGTGCCCACACAGAACATACAGCTACCACCCGGCTCAACATTCTGAGATCCAGTCCCCCAAGGCATTTAAAGAGGTATAATAAGTGTTCCTACCCCAGAGGGTTGCTGGGAGGTATACTGAGTTTATATATGCAAAGAATTTAGACTCATGCCTGTCACATAGTAAGAGTTCAACAAAACTATTTCACTTGTCATTATTATTTGTGGCCCTGATTAAAGAGGGTGCAGATAAGACACAACAGGAGTCCACTATGGTGAATGTTCCTCCCAGGAGCCTCTTGGAGCTCAGACGTTTGAAAACAAAACCGCAGCCTTGACTCAAATGGCCAAGATATGCTCACTTCCTCTATGGCTGCCAGGGAGGGCCTGGCATGAAGTGAGGGACAAGTAGATGTCAGGTCCTGAACTCCTTACTGCATTTACGTAGTTAAGGACACTGTTAGACAGCCAATAAGTCATGCTGATAACATGCAGAATGGGATTTAGAAGCAGTGGGGATGTCTTTGGGCTCTCTTCTACACTGTGCACGCTTGGCATTAGAGAAATAAGTGTGACTTTCAGTTCCACCATGTATGATCCAAGAAGCCTTACGTTACATCCTCATCGCTCTGGGAATCACTTCTTGCCTCAAGATAGCATCATTTAGAGAAAACGAGCTGAATGATGTAGGCATCTTGGAAATTGTAAATACTGTACTAAAGACTTAGCTTTTATTTTAACAACTGTCATTTGTGCCAATAAGCTGTAGAATATGAATGATCATTTAAGGATAATGAATATTTAAGGAGCTGTCACTAAAGGGAAGGCACCATGCTAGATGCAGTAGGGAAATTGAACAATGACTAAAACTTGTGGCTGACGTAGCAAAAGTGAAACTTAGCACAGGATATATGAAAGTAACAGGTAACAGCCGGTCAAGCAAGGCAGGACCTGTATGTTAACAAAGTGATAGAGTCATTTCCTGTTACACTCACCCAGATGAGGGAGCGAAATCTCCAAGGAAAGCACATTAATGGTGTTGTTCGTTGAGCGAATGGAACTTTTGTGGGTTGGATGTTAATGGGAGTATGATTTTGTCCCAGTCTTGGCTGGCTGAGGCCCACACTCAAAACCATAGAAATAAGGTGTGCCTGTATCCTACAAGAGGGGCCTAAACCTTGATTCTCAACCGGAGGCAATCTCCCTTCCAGAGGATACTGGCAATGTCTGAAGACGTTTCTGGTTGTCACAACAGGTTGGGGGTGCTATAGGCATCTCGTGAGTAGAGGCCAGGAATGATGTTAAACATTCTACTGTGCCCAGGATATCCCACCCCCATGTCAAAAAAATACTGAGCCCCCAATGGTAGCAATTTTCAGGCTGAGAAATCCTGGCCTAGCTACCTTTCTCAAAGACTTATTGGGAGGTGGACAGAATTCACAATTCCAACGTTTGGCTCTTGTACTACATCCAGCCCAGCTATAAGGGGAGCCTAAATCCTTGGGGACATTGATTCTATGGAGTCTTTCTCTAAAGATACAGTTGGGAGTATCCTGGCTTCTTCCAATGAGGACATGAAGAGACAGCCCTCCCACCTTCACACAAACAAAAGGACTCCCCAGGCCCTGGGGCCACCAGAGATTCAGAGCTGAGATCTGTATAAAGGGTCATGGAAGCATTTGACCTGAGTCCCTAGGGGCAGATGGGCAGAGGGACCAGTGATGACTGTCACCTAGAAAGTCAAAAGGGGATTTCAGGTCATCGCAGACTTGGTAACTGGGGCCAACTTTCCTACTGAAATCAGCAAAATCCTCTTGATGAAATAATAATCTTGCTAATAATCATCCTAAGGAAAACTTCCACCTTTGTAAATGGATTGCTTATTTTGGCATCAGATACATATGGATAAAATTCCCATATATTGCTGGCCATTTAGAGCAATGTCAGAAATGCCTGATCTGGCATCGGGCTCCGAGTCACCCCTCTCCTGTGCTCACACTCCTGGAGGCTCCCTCTCCTCTTCCTGTTCCGGTGTCCCTGGCTCCTCCTTAGCCTTCTTTGTGGGCAGATAGCCTGAGCAGGCAGTATTCACCTGCGAATGTGCATTTGTTTCCCTACTTTTCAGATTGGTTGAGTGATACTTTAAAATTTTTAAATTTCATGTTTTATTTCTTGATAACCTTGGCTTTTCTTGAAATGCTGTTTTGTTTAGATTTGCAAGTGGATATACATAATGGAAGCAACAGAAATATTTGTTTCAATAATGGAAATGATATTTTCACTACAGGGTACCCAGATTTCACTTTTCATGCACACAGGTACCGACAACACCAAATCAGGATTTGTGGATCGAAAACCCTTGTTCAAGATCAATTACAGACAAAGAACCACAACCACGAGGTGCATAAAATTCTGTCCGTTCTGCTTTGGTCCTTAATATAAAACATGCAGAAGTAGAAGAGGACACGATGACCTAGTAGAAAGGCCCCCAGAAACCTACATTACCATTACACCAAGTTAATAATCACACACACCCCTAATCATGACTGTGACCGCATCCCTCCCAACAACTCTGGCCCCAAGCCCAGACCTCAGCCCTGACTAGGCCTCAGCCTCAGCCTGCACTACGTCCTGTGACCTTCTTCGGGTCAATACCTCAGTCTCAGAGGAAAGAGAAAAGACAGTCTGATGGCTGTCGATTGTACCCCCACAGATGCTACCAACTGTATCCCAGATGTCTGGTTTCACCTAACTTCCTATTGGGCTGGATTCCTATTGGACTTGGTATGTTGAAATGGTCTGATTATCTCAGAGAGAAGCAAGGTGCAGTGTTTCATTCCCTAGAGATTTTCAGAAGTGTCAAAAGCTCAGGCTGGCAAAGAACTGCATGGAATTCATATCCATTCACTCCGCTGGCTGCCACATAATGAGCCAGATGTTGTGTGCATCCAGGAGCTCATGTGATCATCATAAAAATCCTGCAAACGAACCTAATTCATGGAAGAAAGAATTGTTGCTTAGAGAGGAAGAGAAATGTTTCCAAATGCATAGTCCATGCTGTTTCAATTGCACCATTGGGCCACTTTGAATTCCCTTAGTGTTTGTTAACTTCACAAGAACATACTCTGGCATTTGTGGGCGATCATGGGTTGTCCCAGACCTGCCGCCACACCCAGCCGAGCCTGGGCAGGACAGTATGAGTGTCACTCATGAAACCATGGCTGGGGCACCCGGGTGGCTCAGTCGGTTAAGCAGAAACTCTTGATTTGGCTTGGGTCATGATCCCATGGTTCGTTAGTTGGAGCCCTGGTTGGGCTCTACGCTGACAGTGGGGAGCCTGTTTGGGATTCTGTCTCCCTCTCTCTCTGCTCCTACCCTGTGCAGTCTCTCTCTCTCTCTCAAAAATAAATTAATAAACAATGAAAAAAAGAAGTCACGTGTAAAGGAATACAGCGGGCACACATCTGGAAGATTTCCCTCTCAGGACAGTCTGCCACAGGACCCTACCTGCTAATGTCCTGATCTGTGACATGGAGATTAATCACAACAGCCATCCCCTGGGACAGGGGAGAGGATTACATAAATTATACAGGAAGACCTTCAGAAATATGCCTAACAAAAGCAAGTCCACAATGGACATTGGATGTACATTAATTTTAACACTTATCATTACGTTTGAAACACAACATTGCTTTGAAAATGATCCCACATGTGACATCATGCTCATGAGACAGTGGCAAGGCCCAGGGCAAGTAGGAGCTGGTTTCCAGAGACTGCTCTGACCCATGACCCCCAGCAATTGCAGCCTACTCCCTTCCTGGAGGCACCCAGATTATAAATGAAATTTGATTTCTCTGAGTCCTCATCTGCCTGGTGACATCACAATTAACTTATAAGACCCAAAGATACTCTGGTGCTTGTTCACGTGGCACATTCAAATCATCGATGAAATATTTCAGTCTCTGTTGTGTTGTTGTGGTTGTTACAGAAGAGTAAAGGTCAGGTTTCCCATCCGAGTCGCGAGTCAACAGCAAATGAGAGGCAGATACACACGGGGGCTGAACCCAGCAGGCATGGCCCCATGTCTCTGGGCAATGTCTCTGGGGTTTGGGATCCCAGAGGGAATGGCTGAGTGGGTGTGAGAACCATCCTGCCCCACCCCAGACAGACGCATTGGTACCGGGATCTCTTTCCAGATTGGGTGCCCTCTTACCCCGTCTGCCCAGCACTCATGGGACTCCGGAAGCCCCAGAACTGCCCATACCTGTGGTTGATCATGAAAAACCCCAGGAAACTCTCTAAGCCACCACTTCTTCTAAAACCTGAACCAGCTCCGCCCTCCTATCACTGGCCTGCCCACTCCTGCTCACGGGGACCTCACTTCTTACCTTGTCCCTGGGGAGCCAGCCTGGCCCGCGGGATGTCACTGCTGGAGGCCGTCATCTTCTCATCTCTCTGGGCCTGTGAGTGTCCCCCAGTCACGTCAGTCTACAGGAGAGACTTGAGAAATTCTTTATTGTTGCCTTTTTCCATATCATTTGCTCATGGGGATTTCTCTTCTTGGCTTGCAGTTGGCCTTGGGCAGGGGAAACTGGAACAACCTGAAATATCAATTTCCAGAGCAAGGGGGAAGAGTGCACACATATCGTGCAAGATGTCCACTGAGGTCATCAACAGAGCCATACACTGGTACCGGCAGAAGCCAGATCAAGAGATAGAACATCTAACACTTGTCTCAACACAGCCCGTTCAAGTTTCTTTAGGAGGGAAGAGCGAAAAACTTGAGGCAAGTAAAAACGCTCACACTTCCACTGCAACCTTGAAAATAAATTTCTTAGAGCAAGAAGATGAGGCCGTGTACTTCTGTGCCTTCTGGGACTAGAGCCACAGCACCAGAGTTGCCAGGAGAGGCTGCACAAGAACCGTGCTCGGTCTGGGTCCACCCACATCCTTCTCCACCTGGGCAACCACAGAGGCCGCACAGCCCGGTGCCCAGCCGGAGCCTCTCCCTCTGCAGTAGTTCCTGACCTTTGCAGGAAGACATTGTAGATTCTGCTCGCACAGCGAGCCCCACGTGATACCAGCAGTGACGGTCCCCGTGAAAGCAGTTTGACACTGGTTCCCGCTGGATTCAGCTGTCTGGGAACTCTGAAGACGCAGGGTGGATGGATCAGGGAAAAATCCATGTGTCTGTTAATTCACTGTGGAGACAGAGGTTTCTAGCACCCGAGTGGCTCAGAATGAAGAGAGGAAAGGACATAAATATTTCCTGTCATTTTTACTTTCTGATTTAATTCACGGGCATTACAGTTCTTCACAGGTGGAATGATCTGTCAGACATAATAACTGAGGCCATCCTGAAGGAATCTAGTGACCGTGAAACCATGAAGTAAGCAACCAGGTCTTTGGGGAATAGGAGACACCAAGGTATAAATTCTGTATCCTGGAGAGATAGACAGTGCCTCACTCCACATCCAGGGATCGATATGGGGACAAAACCAGAGATGTACTTTTAAACAGCCCTGAGCACTTCACATGCTTCCAACAGGGCGGATATGCCTCCAAGACTTAGTTCTCCAGGGTTCTACAAAGAGAAAGAAAGATCCCGAATAAGAATCAGATTGGTAACAAGATAGATAATACACGGTCTCTACATCTGTAAAGAAGAGAAAGGCATGTCCTTCACACATCAATAAAACACAAAATAATTATTGAGAATTGAAATCTGTGATTGGTAACTGGATGGCTATGAGTTTTCAAAAATAAGGAAACACACTGTGTTATGTGTGAAGCTATAAAACTCCCTCTCTTGGGGCACCCGGGTGGCTCAGTCATTTGAGCATCAGACTCTTGATTTCAGCTCAGGTCATGATCAAAGGTCGTGAGATGGAACCCCGAGTTAAGCTCCGCACTGGACACGAGCCTGCTTAGGATTCTCTCTCTCCCTCTCTCTCTGACCCTCCCTCACTTGAGCTTTCTCTCTCTCTCTCTCTCAAGAAAAACAAAAACAAAAAAACCCCAACTCCTCTCCCACCTCTTTAGAGTTCACTGTCAAGGATGAGAAAAAAACCTTTACTTGGCAAAAATGTTGGTACCTTTGGTAAATGTGAACATCTGAATACATAATTGCCATGTACTTTATCCCTGCTTCCTGAGATAATGACAACACATTCATTCTGCTTCTCTTTCTAAGGATCAGGTGCTTCTATCACGTGCAGAGAGGCCACAGAAACTGAACGTCTTCCTTCCCAGGGGCAAACTCCGGATCCTGTGTCCCACTTTCTGTCCATCATGATTCCTGACAGTGGTGGGTCCCCAGCTGGAGGACCCAGAGGGCCTGGGTCTCAAAGGGTCTCACCTGTCCCCTAACACATCTACAGAAGCAACGGTAGGAAGATCCCTGAAGGGAATACAGAGTCAGAGAATGTGAACCATTTCCAGAAAGAAGGGGATGAAAAAAAGTACCTAGCTTCTTATCGTATCTGTGTCAAATGCTTTACACAGATTATATCACTTAATAATGAGAAGAGCAGGGCAGAATTCACCTGAAGTGGCCCCATGGAGACTGATCTCAGGAGAGAGAGCCACCCTGACTTTTCAACACAAAACGACCAGGAACCCCTACAGTGGTGACGGGAGGGAAAGGGGCCATCATCTATGAGACCTTGAAGTGACAAAATATTATGGAGCCATTAAAAACATGTTTTTTGGATCAACTATAAGAACCTGGAACATATTCACCACATATTCAAGGAAAAGGTTAAACACAGAACTGGTTTATGTAATACGCTTTCAAATCCATAAAAAGAACTAATGCAAAGGAATTCTTCAAAGTTTAAAGAGTGGATGTCTCTGGAAAGATAGGTGTTTTTAATTCTTCTTGGTACATTTAAAGATTTTGTAAAATTTAATAAAAATATATTATGTATACATAATCCTCAATATTTTATTGATCTATACATTTAATAATGAGATTGTGTATATAATAATATAGAATATAGCTATATATACATATGACACACTTAAAATTGTTATATATTTTTAATTTTCTGTGTAATAATATTGCTACTTTGTATCTTCCATAAAAAATACAGACTAAAACACTACAATTAGCCATAATGTTTGCCATGGAACAGGAAGTCAGCAAACTATATTGATACCCAGCAGCCCCTAGTTTTGTAATAAAGTTTTACTGAAACACCACCTTGTCCATATGTTTATAAATTGTCTATAGTGGCTTTTACACTAAATGCCAGAGTTGAATGGTTGCAACAGAGACCCCAAAACCCTAAAATGTTATCGTGTGGCCCTACACAGAAGTAGTTCGTCAATCACCTCCATAGAATGATACACTGAGAGTGACATTTATTGTTACTATAGGTTTCCCTATTTCTTAGTGTTTCTTCAATGTCCCTTCATTACATAGCCACTCTCCCCATTTATGAACTTATTCTGAATAAATTGTATAACATATCTCTGACTTATTTTCCTTATTTTAAAATGGAAACATGTTAACCTGAAGGAGGTCCTGAGAGAAGTAACGTCAATAATGCGTATAAAGTTCTCACGACGCTTGGAGCATGCCTCATGCTCAATATATTGGGGCATTGCAGCGATTATATGGGTTATTATTGCCTATTTGAAAATGAAATCATTTGGATGCGTATTCTAACTTTTTGGTGCCCACCATTTGATTCGTGGACCAGCAGCCTCCACTTCACCTAGGAGCTTGTTACAAATGCAGAAAATCAAACCTCAGCCAGGCCTCCTGAATGCCGATCTTGTTTCACAAGGTTCCTGCAGGATCCCTGCGTACTTCACAGTCGGAGACGTCAGGATCTAAAAGTACAGGGTCATTTATGAGTAATACAAAAGGGTTGAGGCTGTATCAGCTTCTCATTACCCTCCCGGGGGTGTCCATGGTGGGAAAACGGTGAAGTTAATTCATGTTGCACCCAAAATATGCAACACTAGGTGTCTACCAAAAATAGGGACTTTAAGGAATAAGGCTGAAAATACTAGCTTGAGGGGCTCCTGGGTGGCTCAATCGGTTGAGCATCCGACTTCGGCTCAGGTCATGATCTCACGGTTGGTGGGTTCGAGCCCTGCGTCAGGCTCTGTGCTGACAGCTCAGAGCCTGGAGCTGCTGTGGATTCTGTGTGTGTGTGTGTCTCTCTCTGCCCCTCCCCCCACTTGTGTTCTGTCTCTTTCTCTCTCTCTCTCTCAAAAATAAATAAACCTTAAAAATATTAAAAAAAGAGAAAATACTAGCTTGAAAATATTGAGAAAAATAAGAATAAAGAACTACATATGTGATCAGCTCACAGATATGTGAATGATATGTTAATAAAATCAAGGTAAATTTAAGAGTTTTAAGAGTGGTTAATTTTTAATTTTTAAGAGTGGATAATATTTATTTTTATTTTTTGCACTTCTTCTGATTTTTAAAAGGTTCACAATGACTTTATATAAATTTCTTATGAAACATATACACTGTAAGATGTGTACAAGTGTATAATTAATTATTTATAAATTTCAGCTATAAAAATAATCATAAGTTCATAAATAAAGCTAAATCATATAAAGTCTAAGTAAATGACCACTTAAATTATATATATGTATGTGTACGTATAGTTTAAATTTATATAGGTGTATAATTAGTTTTTTGCATATAATCATATAATTTTATGTGTGTCTGTATATGTATATGCTGTGGAAGAAAAACCATAAATAAATGTACCACACTGAAAATGGTGTTTGCCCTACAGTGGTATAGTCATGGGAGACCTATGTTGTTATCATTGTGTTTTCCCTTTTTCCACAGGAGTTTTTCACTGAGTTCCCAGGGTCCCGCAGATACCAGCTTTGTGACTCTGGATACATGAGTTAATATCTGTTTGGTGCATTTTCTACATCTGTACAACAGACTATAAGGTCTTCAGACCTTTGAGAGGAGAAAATGAGATATCATACGTTAGGCACAGTGCCTAAAAGATAGCAAATGCTCAAAAAACAGTACTATTAATGTTATTCCATACCAAAATTACTTCTGGAAGATCTAGGTATGACATATTCATGAGAGAGGCTACAAGGTATAGGCAGACTTCAAGTCATGACCCAGTCTACACTCTAGTCTATCTGGTGTTGTCCCAAACAAGTGAATGATAGGACATTGAAATTAGGATTTTCTGACATTGCATCTGTACTGTGGGGGCCAAATTAAGTTTTTAAATGCATTCTACTGCTCACGCCTTTGGAATTATTGTGGCATCCAAACAATATCAATAGGGATCTCAGTATTGGGTATAGTTATTGGAAATTGCTGCACTGTTTCACATCACTCCGCCCTGAAACCAGAAGGTGAAAGGTTTCATACTGAACACGAAAGGCGTCTTTTCCTATGTACTGTATGCAACCCTGGGAGGGGCACAGGGTGTGCGAAGGAAATAAGGCAATCTCATCATCCCCAAACCAGCACACAATCAAGGCTGTCTCCCTTGATTTTCCGCACACCCCCGGGGTATCCTATCTGGTGTGCAGCCAGCATGGGATGGCCTGTAGAGACCATGTGACCCACCTGGGTCAGATCACACCCTTCCCCCCCTGACTGAACCATCTGGTCATCAAGCTCTTGTTTTCCTGCCTCTTCAGCAAGATGTCAGTGTTGGAAGTACTGACGTTCTCCTCCGTCTGAGCTCAGACCGGCTCCTCACTCGTTTCAACTTTTGGTGGGAGAGCAAAGACATGATTTAATGGTGCATCTTTATAAAGCTGGTGTTCAGAACTCCTCTTTGTTGAGCCCAGTTTGTATTTGACAGTTTAAGTTGGAGCGATCTGAAATGCTAATCTTTCTGAGAAATATAGAAAAAGTCCAAACACTGCCTAAGATGATATCCAGCCACTCGTACTGGTTGAAGCATAGCCTGACAGATTTTTATCAACCATGAGGCTCTGTCGCCAAAAACAGTGTTCCCGGGTCCATTTTGACCTTGAGAATAAATCTGCAAGAAAAGGAAATGTGGGTATTTACTACTGTGTCAGCGGGACACATAGGTCAAGGGGTGCCCGGACAACCCACATGGAACCTCTTCTCAGGTCTGTGTCTACCCACATCCTTCCCTACGTGAGCACCGTGGCCAGCTTCTTGGCTTGTGCTCAGAGCTGGCCTCCACTTCCCAGGACGTCTTCCTCAACCTCTGAAAACTCAGACTATGTTCAACATCTGGACCAAGTCAGACAACTGTCTGGAGATTACCCGAAAGTTTATGTTGCTCAAATCCAAAGAAGAAATCACTGAGTGCCAGGAAACATGTTGCCGATATCACATATATATTATATTATGTACATTATGTATACATATTACATATATATATAATGATCACAGCATTTTTGCAATGTAATATTCATTTTGTCCACTTTATTTTTTTATTTTTTGTTTATTTAGTTTTTAGACAGACAGAGCATGAGCAGGGGAGGGGAGGGGCAGGCCAGAGAAAGAGAGACAGAAACATAGAATCTGAAGCAGGCTCCAGGCTCTGAGCTGTCAGCACAGAGCCGGATGTGGGACTCAAACCCACGAACCGTGAGATCATGACCTGAGCCGAAGTTGGACGCTTAACCGACTGAGCCACCCAGGCGCCCCAAGGTGTGTTCGTTTTCAAGCACAAAACATATTTATCCCAGTATCTACTCTACCACACAACGTGGCCAGCTTCCAGCCAGACACCCAGAGGCGTAGAGCAAGTCAAGAGGAAACAATGTGAGGACCCAGACCAGTCACCAGAACCAGACTGAGACATGACAGAAGATGTTGGAACCATCAGGGAACTTAAAATAATTTTGATGAATGCTTTAAAGGATCTAATCTAATAGGAAAAGTAAACAAGATGCAAGATCAGGCAAATCATTTCATTAGAGAGATGGAAAGAATCAAAGGAAATGCAAGAAATAAAAAACACAGTGACAGATATGAAGAATGCCCTGAAAGGCTCATCAGTGGATTTAAGAGAAATAAGGAAGGACTATGGGCCACTAGATATTACCCAAATGACAATGGAAAGATATGAGAGAGAAAGAGAGAATGACAGAGAGAGAGAGAGAGAGAGAGAGAGAATGACAGACATAGAGACAGAGAGAGGAAGCAGATAATTCATAACTCATAGAAGAAGAGAATTGTAAGAATTACCCCCCACCTCCCACTCTCTGATTTGAACTGGTGAAGGACAATAGTCCTTTACCAGGAAAATGGCTTCTTTACATTAATATCATTGGATAACAAATGCACAGTAATGAGAGAAATCTGCTGATAAAGCAGGTTAGTAGCCTTATTTGCAGGATGATTTGGGGTAAATTCTGTCGGTCTCTTCCTCTGGTTCTTAGCTGTGTGCTCAGAGCACCACTTCCTCTTACGGCAACAGCCACCAGATCTGCGCTGTGATCAGCCCCGTATTCAACCACCTCTCCTGACAAGTGCTGGCAGAATGTGGCTCCTGTCCTGGCTGGTCCTGGTGGCCTCCCTTTGCAGCTGTGAGTGGCTCTACCCAAGGGGCATTTCATTCAGTGAAGAAAGGTGATATTAAGCATCAACAATGTAGTGGCCCATGTGGGCAGAAGGCCACCCACATGGTCATTCAAAGTAAACTACAAATTTCACCATGACCTTGAATTCTTCCGGAAGAAAATGTTGACCCCCTGACCCCAAGCTTTTCATTAATGGGGAAGAAAGGTGTATTATTTCAATGAATGTCTAAATTTTGCTAATTGTTGCTTTGGTTTTTCTTTCAGATGCAAATGGAGGCATTTTCATAACACAATTCATACCATCCATTACCAAGAAAAAAGGAAACACAGCATTTTTAGAATGCCAAGTAAAAACGGGTGTCTTAAAGAAAAACGTAAATATACACTGGTATCGACAAAGGCCAGACCAGCCTCTAAAACGCATTCTGTATATTTCCTCAAACGAAAATGTGGTCCACGAACAAGGTATTAGTGAGGAAAAATATGAAGCCAGGAAACGACAGAGGGATTTGCCAGCGAGCCTGAGGATACACAAAATTAGTGAGGACGATGCTGGGCTGTATTACTGCGCCTGCTGGGATCCACTGTATGGAAATGCACCACTGACACTGAACAAAAACCCTCCCATGACCCCACACCCCTGCAAACACATACATGTGCCTTTCTGCCTCCCACAGGGACCTGGCCACTGTCTCTACAGGACTTGTCTCCTGCATCTGTGTCCTCAGCAAGGTCTGTGCTAGGAGCCCAAGGATGTAATCCGATGTTTCTTCTAGTTAGGTCACTTTATCGTCTATTCTTATCACTCTTGGGGACTGGATGGCTTTTGTAAGTGTCCTGAATTTTCTACTTCTCCATTGATGAGAAGCTTCCTGGGAAGGAAGCCATATCCAATGTGCAAAATGGTTTGCTGGTTTTGAGTGAATAATGAATGAATGAATGAATGAATGAATAGGAGAATGATGAAAACCACAAGGCCTTTGTTGTTTTTCTTTGTTTGTTTGAGAGAGAGAGAAAGAGAATGAGAGAGAGAGAGATAGCATGAGCAGGGGAAGGACAGAGAGAGAAGGAGACACAGGACCCAAAGCACACTCCAGGCTCCTAGCTGTCAGCACAGAGCCTGATGCGGGGCTCGAACTCATGAACCTCGATATCATGACCTGAGCTGAAGTCAGATGCTTAACCAACTGAGCCACCCAGGGGCCCCCATAAAGCCTTTGGAGTGATAAAAACCTGGATTTGAATTCCTGCTCAGCCACTTAACTGACAGCACGATCCAGGAACGTTACCAGATCTTTCTCATAGGGTTGCTGATGACTGAAGGAGGTTCCACACAGGACAGTTTGAGCACAGGGTCAGCACATCACAGTGTCCTTTCCCATTACAACCGAACGGCTTCCCTGAGCCATCTCAGCTAACACAGGAGCTCAGGGGCTCTTTAAAAGTCACATCTTACATCGTCCTCCAAACAACAGTAAAGTCTGCTTTATTTTGAAAAGTTAAGAATTGTGAATTCTTCCTCCAAGATTTTTCTTCGATTCACAGCAGAGTATAGAAACGTCATATAATCTAAAGCAATAACTACATTAATTATCAAATTTCAACAAGCTTTGGGAACTTTCTACAAACTAATGATCTATAAGATGTCCATGTAAATGTACATACTTCTGCATAATGTTTTGAGGTTATTATCTCATTTCTTATTATACAGTAGTAAGAGTTTTCTTCCAATTCTCATGATAGCTATATAGCTGCCACACTCATGAAATTTGGTGAAAAATCTATAATTCAGGGATGAAAAAGAGCTCAAGGGTACGTGTGTTTGAAGCAAAACCTAAAGGAAAATTATGGAGGTATTGCCCCCAAAAGGAAGATAACATTGAATTATTATTACATAGGTGTCTTGGTGAGGTGCTGGGATCTGTTGGTTCTTTATACCAGGGACATAATAAAATAACATCGAGACAGGTCTTACAGAGAAGCTTTTTCATTGGTTCTAAAACAAACTTTCCTTTCACGTCCTGGCCTCTGAAGAATGAGGCCTGGCCCTGCCTTCCCAGTCCTGATTCATGCCCCCCTCTTAGAATCCATTCTGACCAACCACTGGCAATGCCAACCAAATGGATTTATGTGGGTCTTTGGCTTGGGCTTGTATGTTGACTATACCCCTTGCTTATCTTCTTACTGTTTTTATGTCCACTTCCAATTTATTCAAGCGCCTCTGATTTTACTCCTTTGGTTCTCAAATGGAGCCACCAAAATGAGAATCTCTCAGGATCAACTCTCCTCTCCCCAAACACCAGACAGAACAGTTGACATGTGTTGCATGTACTCTGGGGATTCCCTCAAGTAGACCCACTGGTAACAACGAAAAGAAGCAGGGCCCCTGAAACGAATCCTATATCCAATCCTATTAACCAATATTACCTGTAAGACTAGTCCAATTCTGGCTTGGACACAGATAAGAAAGAAAATGGAGGCTTTTACCTGATAAACAAAAATGTCCTAAAGTCCAATAAGGCCACCTAATATGGTGCCCACTGGGATCTCAATATCACAGAGTCAGAAGGACCTGTAAGAAAACCTTCTTTATTACTAACTCTCAACTTCTTTCTCACTTGAGCAACCACAGCCCAACCTTTCCTGTCCTTAGTCACAGGTTATGTATGAACTGTTAGAACAGCAAGGGCCCTTTGGACATACAGAGTCCAATGCCCACACAACCAATGGGGATGCAGAGACCCAGTGATGGCAAAAGCTCGGCCAGAGCTAGTTAACCACAGAGAGACGGCTACAAGTGCATTTCTGAAGATCACAGAATCACTTCTTTTTTACAACATATCAGAGAACTGGATTTTGTTTCCAAATTATGGTTTAAATAGGAATCTAGTATTTCATGGAAGAAAGACTTCTACAGATTTCTTCTTTTATTTGGGGGGGGGGCGGGGAATGCCATTACACAAATTATTTCTCATTTTGCATTGTGTGGTAGAGAATCATGTTGTCAAATGGTAAAAGTAGCTGATTTAAAACTGGAGAACACTGTTCACATTTCTCGAGTATATTTCTGTTGGCACTTTTGTATTTTTGGTTACTAAAGAGTTTCCTCCTTTAGAAATACAATCCCAGATTGCTAACAGAGCCAGTCTGGTGTTTCTGAGAAGAGAAGGGCTTTTCCTTTGATGTGATCTCTGAGTAGTTTCACACACTTGAACACCTGGAAATCAAAACATCTTAATTGACTGAACACTTTTCCTGGTAATTTAATTTTTTTTAATGTTTATTTTTGTTTTTGAGAAAGAGAGAGGGAGAGACAGAATCTGAAACAGGCTCCAGACTCTGAGCCGTCAGCACAGAGCCTGACATGGGACTGGAACTTGGGAAAGGCAAGATCATGACCTAGGCCAAAGTTGGACACTCAACTGACTGAGCCACCCAGGTGCCCCTCCTGGTAATTTAAATGAGCAGTTGGATGACAAGTTACTCCCAATCTCTCTCTCTCTCTCTCTCTCTCCTCTTTTTACTGGTGCTCTAATTGTTTCCATCTTCTATCAGCACTTTCTGTAATTACTGCCTCCTTGGAAAACAGAGATTTTTATCAACTAATCTGAGAAAAACTTATAAAATGTCAGACGCCACGAAGCCTATATTCAAGGACTTCCAAGGGAGTCCAGAAGATCAAATTGCCAGGACAAGGTTTCTACTTGCTGGTCATGCCATGAGGCTCAGGACAAGGCTGACGTTTTTGTAGAAGCTCTAACCAGTGTGATGAGTCAGGCTGGATCAAGATATTTGCAGAAGGAACTAAGCTCATAGTAACTCCCCCAGGTAAGTAACTTTGTTCTACTTTGATCATGTGAATAAAAAACCAAGAGATGCTTTTTAGAGAAAACAAATGATCTATATGATCAAGTCAGCATACAGAGAGCCATTTTGCAGCTACTGGAAACTCTGTATGGAAATTAATTACTTTGAAAATGGCTTATTTACTTACCTGCTTGCAAGTAAACTGAAATTCTATGTTTTGACAGTACGCACACGCACAAATAGACCAAGGCTTGAAATTAAAATTATTTTTAGGATGGTGTCTTTAAACCCTTGGTGTGAGTTATGGGTTCAAGATGCTCTTCTTACAGATGGTCTCTTTAAGAGAAACACTTTGATTAAGTACCTCTAGTATGAATTCTTAATGAGTAGTGCTTCTTTCTCTAATAACCTGCAAAATCTGTGATTGCTTTGGATCTCACCCTTAATGCAGTGCAAAAATTTTTACTCTTACAGTAATTGACCATAAAACATCAACAACCCCTCTTATTTTATTATTCTGGCTTCTTAGAGGGCAGGGTACGACTATTAAAAATCCGTGCCATTGCGAGTCTTGTGATATTTCTTAGAGATGGTCCAGTTGAATGGAACTATGAACTCCACAAATCATTTTAGCTCCACAGTCCGTGAAAAGAGTCTGTCTGCAGGGCTTTACATTTTCATTTGTTCATTTGTTGTCTCAGCAAACACTTATTGAACACAGTTTCTTTTTTTTTTTTTAATTTTTTTTTTCCAACGTTTATTTATTTTTGGGACAGAGAGAGACAGAGCATGAACAGGGGAGGGGCAGAGAGAGAGAGGGAGACACAGAATCGGAAACAGGCTCCAGGCTCTGAGCCATCAGCCCAGAGCCCGACGCGGGGCTCGAACTCATGGACCGCGAGATCGTGACCTGGCTGAAGTCGGACGCTTAACCGACTGCGCCACCCAGGCGCCCCTGAACACAGTTTCTATGCTGGATGCCAGGAAAGGGGTAAAGAAGACACAACCCCCAAACTCAAAAAGCTTCTAGCCTACAGGACAACTATTCTAGATTGTGGCGTCATTGGGCCCTATGTGTTTCGGCGTGTGGCTGTAAGAGACACAAAACGTCTTGGAATTATGAGCTCTCTTGCTTTTTTAATTTATAATACCTATTGCTTACAAAATCCACACATTTTGTTTTGTGGAAAAATTTGATAAAATGGCCTGAAACCATCCCATTAAAGAGAACAATAATATTAGCTAAGATTCACTGAGGGCCAGATACCATGCTGACCAGTTTCAGCGCCTTATCTCATTCATTCCTCAACAGCCCTATACAGAAAATCCTCTTTTTCCAAATTTGCAGATGGAGAAATTAAGGCTTGAAGAAGTTCAGTTATTTGCCTTAACTCACATGGCTTATTACATAGAGGGGGATCCGATAGAGACTTGTCCATTCCAAAATGCATGGTCTGGACCATGATGTGATATTAGAAACATGAAGCCATGTTTTTATAATCTGATATTTACTAATCTGCAGCCTGACTTTTTAAATAGATTCTTTAGTTGAATGCTTAATTAGTAATAGCTCAATTTGTATTACTCCTCATGCAGAAAATGATGCTTTTGCTTCTAATCATGGCATTATAATCGCCTCTCTCCTCCACAAATGATCAAATAAGTCATGTTGAATACATGTTCAAAAATTGGATTTTCAAAATGTGATTCTTAGGGTATTGCTATAAAATGACAAGTCCTTTCCACACCATCGCATTCAGTCTTCTTTCCGCATCGGCATCAAGTGCGCCGGAAACACTGACTGGGGCAGGACAGCTGGAGCAGGTGGCCTACACGTGGGACTCGGCCGCATGACCCACAGCTGCCTTTCCGTTCAGGCCGGGACAGCGGCAGAAAGACCAGACCAGACAGATTCCTCTGATGAACAGCTCAGGATTTTAGATGAGTTCCCTGGAAACTCTTGGGGGTAATTTCAAGTTCAAATAGGTAGTCTTTCAGGAATAAGTAAGTTTAGAGATCATTATTAATATTTCAGACTCTGTAACAACTCATCTGGTCTACTATCAGGGGCGACAGGATTCTGGAAAGAACTTTACAATCAGACAAGGTAACTACCCCCTCAATATGTAGAAATTAAAAAAAAAACTATAAAAATATTGAACACTCATTTATTAAATACTTTTTGGTTACTCTTTGAAAACAAAAGAAATGATAACTGCAAGTCATACTCTGGTAAAAGAAGGGATATCATACAAGAAAACCTTTTAAGGGAAGAGATTTGAGCATCAGGAAAATAGTAAGAAAAGGTAAAATCATACTTTCCAACTTGTGTGACTGAGATGGAAAGACAGAACCAAGCTGACCAGGCAGAGGTCAGTTCCTCAATTCTCGACTGTGTTCATATCTAATGTGATTTTGTTTGAGTTTCATGTTTGTTTAATGGTAGTGGGGCCCATTTTTATGTCTTTATATAAACCTTGAAAAAACATGGGCACAACCTTAAAACTGGCACAAAGGGAGATTGTGTAGAAGCTCTTCAGACAGTGTGATCGGTCTGGCTATTGCGAATCCAAGTGTTCGGTCCTGGCACACTGCTCAGGGTTATAGGAACCTTTTCTTTCCATTCTTAGTAAAGTGCGGGGAAGGGAGATGGTGATGCCAGTGCTGGCTCAGAATTCTAGGATTTGGTCCCAGTATGTTCACAAATAACAGCAGGATCCTTGGAGAGTTTGGAGACTCTGCCCCGATCCTTGGGGGTAGTTGCCACCTGATCTAGCGTGGAGGACATTCACAAGGAGCTAACTGGCTAGAGCAACTGGGGGTTTCTAAGGGCGGGGGAGATGTTAGAGCCATTTGGGATTTCGGTCTTGAACGTCTTGTAAAGTTTGTGTATCTTATTTATTTAATTCCAAAAATAATCAATGGAAAAGAAGGAATAAAATATTGCTGAACTTTCATTTTGTCAAAGGATGATTACTATCAAGTATCAAAATATTTAACTGCATAAACATATGCAAGAACGTTAAGCTAGGTTTTCCCCCTCTAAATGCAGTATACTGTTATTTGTTCATTCTTCGCTAGCCTTAGAGGTGAAATTTTGCCTGATGAGGGAGAACATCTCACACAGATGTTTCCAGAGCACTAGGTCTCATCAAAAAAAATTTTTCAAGAATTTTAACAAAGGTGGTAAAACACTGAAAAAAATGAAAGAAGTGATGTGGTTTTTTTCCACAATAGTTGTGATTGTAGGCACAAATGAATTTATAAACCGAAAAGCAAGTTTGTGGTCCTCTTTTTTCCAAATGACTACACAATCCACGTAAATTCTAGCAATCCAATTAAACAATGGTGACAGACGTATAATGCATGGAGTCCTGAAAAGTGTGTTTTAAGAGGAGTGTGGTGCAGAGAAAAATCTGGACTATGACTCTGGATCTATCACTTTCTGTATAACCATTCCTTAGCGTTTAGATTTTGATTCAGTCACTATTGCTTTCTTAAAATTATAAAAATAATACATGTTCATTATGAAAATAAGAACAGAGAAAAAAATAATGAAAACATTAAAAAAGTTTAGTGACACTTATTACTGCTAATATTTGCTATATTTCCATCCATTGATTCTGTCCCTGTAACAACCATCTCAGGTGGATGTTACAGGGACTAAATGAAATTAAATATGTCAATAGGAACCATAAAGGTTGGGACATGGTCAGTGATAAAAAAAAAATGTCATTTCAAATTACCATCCCTTGGAGTTCTTTATATTATCAGGAGTACAGAAAATATGTTAATTACCATCTAGTCTATAGGTCACTTTCGAACAAACGGTTTAATTTGCAGTATGCTTTCAATTTCTATGGCTCATTGTCACCTGTTTCTAAAAATGATGATAATGGAATAAGCATTACCTCCACTATTGCCTGCCAGAACATAAGGTGGTCTCTCATTTTTCAGTGGAAAGATCCAGACGTAAAATAAAAAGAGAAGAGATTGTGCAACCTGAAGCTTGCACAAGCTTGCAGTGATACAGATAAAAAGCCAAGTATTCCCTTTTATATTTAATATCTTAATTGAATTACACCTACAAAGTTAAAAATGATATCAATACAAAATAAGTTGAGAAATACAGTTTTTTGTGCCCTGACATTTCATCAAAAATTTTGTTCAAACTCTTCACATGCGTCTAAAATGTATACTTTCGAGCACATTTCTGAGCCATCTCAGGGTCCCAGTGTCTGTTTTGGGATCTCCTTATGATGATGCCACCGAATATTTTATCTGAAAAAAAGAAAAATTACCCACTTACAAAATTTTTAAAAAGCGTTGTTTTCATTTACTCTGTTACTCTATATTTGTGCAATGTAAACATAAAGGGTAGAGACTTTGTTCCCAAGTCCTGTTTACCAAATCCATGGTAAATTTCTTTATTGTCTTTTACCAGTGCTACCTCTAAAACTAGCATTGTGTTTATTTCAGGTTGACACCTTGTCTAAGGAGTATAGTCTGATCAAAGTAGAGCATTAGAAGAGCATCCTTTCAAACGAGAGGTTGCCCAGGACCGAAACATAAGACAACCCCTGTTTCTTGAGGGATGATGGGAACGAAAGCTTCACCTCATGTCCCAGCATTTCAGTGTGTTTGAATTCTGCATGTTTTGTGTTTGTATCGCGGAGCGGGATTTGCCAACATCTTCTGTCAGTTTTCATGTCACCTTCGAGTTAGATTTGCAAAACTATCAACCTCTGAAGCTGCAAATGAAACAAGCCCTAACGCACAAATCATTTCTCATTTATTTCAGCTGCCTATTTCCAAAATCTATTTGAGAAGGCCTAAAATAGAATACACAAGTACAGTGAGGCCATGGAATAAAAAGAGAGGATCAAAAGCACTATGGAGAGCAGACGAAAAAGGTCCGGGATTTCCTAACAGAAAGCACAGGGTAAAATTTAATGTTCAAAAGTAGGAAAAAATGTGGTGGAGTCCATACTTTATATTATCTAATAAAATGAAGATCACCAAATTTTCGTATTTGTTATGTGTTTCCCGCCATAAAATGAGAAAAGGACTTCAATGCGTGAGTCCTTTAGGAGGAATGTGAAGTGAAATAGCGGACATTACTTTCCAGATCCATCTTCTAAAATGAAGAAATGGTCTTTAAACAAAAGCATTTCATGCTACCGCTGCATCATTACTGTGGGCACCATGACACTGAATGTCATTCACAGATGGTGACCTTCAACAGACACACTCAGGCACCAACAAGTTTGGCCTTCATGCTCATATTTATCAGAAAAATGTTTAAACTTTTTAAATATAGCTAGACCTTTAAATAAAGTTAGAAATGTCATATATTTGAAATACATTTTTGTCATTGACTCCGAGTCTAAAGCTCTCTCTTGGCCAGCAAGAGAGCGGATGCAGGATTAAAATGCGAGAGATGGCTCATGTCCGGGAAAAGACAAGAGCCCTGATTAAGGATCCTTGCCCTGTATTTATTAAGATCAGAAGGCTTACAAACATGATAGACGTGCACAAAGAGACAATGAAACTGTGAACATTAACTCGTGGCCATGAGGGAAAGGGGGTTTTGAAGATATATGGGGTTTGGGGTTTGGGTCAATATAAAGCAAAATCCTGGCACTGGGCAGATGGGCAGATGGTTGTTAATGGCAGACAGGAGGTGCTATGTCTGTTTATCTTAGCTACCCTAGGGGCTAAGACAGAGCATGTAACCTCAGGGTTAACAAGGCACCTTTTCTTTTGCTAATCAGCTCTGCCCTGGGCAGCATCACCTCCAACACACCAGTCTATAGTCCTCTGTACAGTTTTACCTAATTTGGTCCTTCCCTCCTGTGAAAGCAGCTTTCTGCGATAGTACTAAATTGGGGGGCATTTTGGTCCTGAATACCTAATCTTGCTTACCTCATATACCTTTGTGTTGGGGGCCTTTGCCCCCCTCTCTATCCTGGGGGCCTTGGTCCCGCCCTACTTTATTCTGGGGGCCTAATCTTATCTACCCAAGCTTGGGTGTGAGTAACCTATGGCTTTGTAATTCTTTATGCCTTGTTAACCCACTGGTGCATGCCCAGGGAATTCCTAAACTTATTCCCCACACATTTTAAATATGAAATAGCTATAATTATTTGTTTAATAAAGGAAAAATTAATAAAAGTAGAACAGAGGGGCGCCTGGGTGGCGCAGTCGGTTAAGCGTCCGACTTCAGCCAGGTCACGATCTTGCGGTCCGTGAGTTCGAGCCCCGCGTCAGGATCTGGGCTGATGGCTCGGAGCCTGGAGCCTGTTTCCGATTCTGTGTCTCCCTCTCTCTGCCCCTCCCCCGTTCATGCTCTGTCTCTCTCTGTCCCAAAAATAAAATAAAAAACGTTGAAAAAAAAATTAAAAAAAAAAAAAGTAGAACAGAATTAAATCAACATCAATATGCAGGTTCGAAGTATCACCCTTGCAAATTGAAAATGTAGTTGACACTTGGTACATTTATTTAAAATTCATATGGATGCATCTTAAAATATAAATAACTCAGGCAACTTGACTCAAATGTATTTTGTGGTTATGAAAATAAATGTATATAAATATACCAGACAGGCTTATTTATTTTAGAATCTGGTTTCTATTTTTGCATCATAAAAATGATTTTCATCGTAAAAATCACTGTTAACAGGTTTAAAAAAGAATGTTGAAGGAAAAACTATGTAAGATAATTACCCAAAATACAAGCATGAGCCATATATAATCAAATGGATGCTTTAATGCTCAGTTAATTATTCCATTGAGAAAATTGTGGAAGTTCAAGATTCATTTTATCTTGAAAATGGTAAAACATCAAGAATTTGGTTAAGGAAAAGGGACAGAGGGTAAAAACAGTATGCTACCGTCCAGAAATTTATCAAGTTCATCATTTGATTTTTGAGTTCTTCACTATAATGAATCAGAAGCGGTCCAATAAAAAACCCCACAAATTTTCAAAAATGAAAATTAGTTTCTTTAATATATTGACTAGAGGCTAAAGTCATTTAAATATCATGTACAATTGAAAAATTAATCTTGTCTATCTAACATGCTTTTTACACTAAAAACAAAATATGTGGTTGGCGAAATATACGATGTCTTACAGTTATAATCAATAAAATACATATGCACTACAAGCAAGATGTGTAAACTTAAAAGAAGCACATTATAGGGGTGCCTGGGTGGCTCCGTCAGTTAAGCATCCGACTTCAGCTCAGGTCATGATCTTGCAGTCCATGAGCTCGAGCCCCACACCGGGCTCTGTGCTGACAGCTCAGAGCCTGCAGCCTATGTCGGCTTCTGTGTCCTTTCTCTCTGCCCCTAACTCACTTGCATTCTCTGTCTCTCTCAAAACTAAATAAACATTAAAAAAAAAAAGAGCACATTATGACCTAATTCTACCTACAGCCTAAATAAGAACTCATTGTTTGCTTACTGAGTTAGTATAAAAATTAGGAGCTTAGCTACACAGGCAAAAATTCTCAAGAATCTTTTTTTCTAAAAAAAAAAAAAAAAGAAAGAAAAGAAAGAAAAAAAAGAGAGTATATTAAGAGCCCCCCCAAAATAATTTTTTTTCTGTTCTTCTTAAACTCTTTTCTTAAGAAATTGCCCTTTGAATTATTAAACTCATACCAAACTAGCCCAAAGAGAATATCAGTAAAGCACCTGCATTTCAGTTGGAAATCAATTTTAAAATGGTTCCAACATTTATAATTGTAACCATTAAATCAGCAGTAAATGTATCAAGTAACGTACCAACATTCAAATGACATGTCCCTGAAAACTACGATTTTTGTTATATGTTTTGACATTATGTCTGCAGGAAACTCTGGAATCATAACACCAGTTACATATTATTCAGCCAGTGAAATCACCAAATATTGTGGGTTACAAGTTCAGCAGCTTTCTAGGGCAGATTCAACTTAGAGGGGAGACTCTGAGAGTCAAAATATGGTGTTCTCTTGGTCATATATAAGCTTCAGATGAAATGCTAATAGGAAATAAGCTTTCAGTGAACATTTTCCACAGCAAAACAAAAGTTCTGATAAGGGTGTTACTTCATAAGGCTTTAATATAAAAGCATTTCTGAAAATAATCAGTTTTGAAATAGCACTTTTGGATATATTGCGACTTTGTTTCTAAATTCAAGGTGTTGTAAATAATTTGGAAGTGCAGCTTTAAACATTGCCCTACACGAAGTCCTGACATGGCAAGATGTTCTATAATTGTTTTTTTAATGTTTATTTATTTTTGAGAGAGAGACTGAGTGCAAGCAGGGAAGGGGCAGAGAGAGAGGGAGACACAGAATTCGAAATGGGCTCCAGGTTCTGCGCAGAGCCCCACGCCGGGCTCGAACTCAAGAACTGCGAGATCACGACCCAACCTGAAGTCCGATGCTTAAGTGACTGAGCCACCCAGGGTCAACTCGATAGGTTGTCAAGTACGCCTGGAAATATTTCCCATTCAAACAAGCGATTGTGTACTGTTTAAAAAAATTCCATGTTTTAATCCCGACTCTGCCACTTAGTAGCTGTGACTTTGGGCAAGTTATGTAACCTCTTGAACCTCTTTTTCCCATGGAAACTAAGAAGGTAAGCAACTCAGAACCATTGTGGAGGAAAGGCCACCATAAGCACTAATTCTATGGCAACTTTTCCTTCCTTTTACTATGTGCCAGGTGGTTCCAACCACACAATGTTTCCATTTCTCTAACAATAGCTTTAATTGCTATTCCATTTTCTCCAACAGATAAAAGCCCTGATGAAGACACTTCCCCCAAGCCCACGATTTTTCTTCCTTCACCTGCTGAAAGAACACTCCATAAGACTGGAACATATCTTTGTCTTCTTGAGGATTTTTTCCCTGATGTTATCAAGGTAAATTGGAAAGAAGAAAATGGCAAAACAATTCTGAAATCCCAGCAGGGAAACACCATGAAGACTAAGGACACATACATGAAATACACCTGGCTCACTGTGACAGAAAAGTCAATGGATAAAGAACACACATGTATTGTCAAACATGAGAAGAATAAAGGAGGGGTTGATCAAGAGATTCTGTTTCCTTCAATAAACACAGGTATGTGTGTATATACCAGTAACCCTTTTGTCAAAGGAAATATCCCACCTTTGCTGTCAAATATTAATGAAAAGAAACAAATAGAAATCTTTCTTAAATGTTGTTACTTTTAATGGTAGCATAAACGTCCTGCTATTTCCCCATAGAACTAAAATAGTATTGACTTTGTAACATACAAAGAAAAAAAAAAACAAGAAAAATTCATTTAGCCTTTCTGACCTCAGTTTCATAAACCAAAATGTTAAGGTTACAGTGATATTCTTAGCATCATTATATGAATTACATGAAACAGCACATACAAAAGCACCTAGCATCCTCCCAAACAATAAACGCTCGAAAGAGAGTCCACTTTTAAGGATTGTACTTGATGAGGAAATGAGAACAATTATACATCTTTAGGAATGTTCTACTCAGCAAAGTCCCTCTCACTTTAATCTTGCTCTACTCAAAGTGTAACCCATAAACAATGAGTCATAGGCGACAAAATGCTGTTCATTTGGTGGAGACAGATCGCGCTCAACAAAATTAGTAAATTGGTTGCTGAGGTTTTAGTATGGTCTTCTGTTTCTCATATTTGAATTTTACATACCACTCTAAGGTGAAATTTGGTAAGTAAAGACTGTGTGAGGCTAATGTATACACATATTCTTCCATTCTACACAATGGATGTATTTCTACCCCTGGGAAATGCTGCCCAGCAAACACTGTAGAACGAGTGTGTGCCAGGCCTCGAAAGGATGCAGGATGGACCACTGTCCCCAGGAAGATCACTACCGTAGAGTGAATACACGTTTCCTAATCACTCACGGTCACTTGTGATTCAGCCATGGTGTCCCGTAGGATCACCATTGGTACAAATGCTGATCATTTTTAGATAGCGTGGGCACCCGGCTGTGATCCAATAACCTCTAGACTCAGAAGTCAAGTCCTGAGCCTTGACATAAGAGACCACGGCCCCAGAGGGCCCACTGGACAGGACTAGTTTGTACTTTTCTCTGTGGTTAACAAGCCCTTTGGAAGCAGGGGGAACACGCACGTAACTAAATGTGCAAAGACCTTTGCTGTGTACCGCTTGAAATTGTTGAAATGAATCTTTATCTTCTTGGATCCTTAGTGTTTCCAATGATCAAATTAGGGTTGAACACTTATCTCTGCTTTCTCCCCGGCTGTGATGAAGAAGAAATACAATCATGTCAGTGAAAATGCTTGCTTTTGAAAATATAACATGAATGCATTTATTCATGTGCTTCTTGTATTTATGTGCATCCTCTCCTAAAACTAACTGAAGTAAGAGTGCAAACACCCCTAATTTTTTAAAATGTCTACAGCTAAGAAACAGAGAGGAGGCAAATGAGCAAAGCACAAGTTTAATGTAACCACTGTAATCCTTTAGATGTTGGTTTTTATAGTGGTCAAAGTAGAGTAAGTTCCATGGTGATGATTATCGAAAAGGGAGAAGTTCCTATTTGTGAGATGTGTTTTACTTGGCACTTAATTTTGGAAACGCATGTCTCCCAAGGTCTTCTCAATGGAACAGAGCTAATGAGGGTATTTCTGTTAATGCCATTCTACAGCAAATTTTTAATGCTGATTCTAGTAAGGTTTTTTTTGTTTTTGTTTTTGATGAAAGCTAAAAATATATAGAACATGGAAACATGAATCCATGAAATGATTTGGAAGAGATAAAACTATATGGTCTAAGTTTTCAACCAACCTTGATTGAGAAAGTGAACCTAGGGTACACACACACAGATTTTACTTTGGAAAATTGTTACCTTAATGTTTCTACCTCAATCAATTCATGGTGATAAGAGATGTTTCTTTTTCTTTTAATGAGTAGAGCTACTGTATGGAAAAGAGACTTTTAAGACACTTTAAAGTCCATTTTTGAGGGTATTTTAACATGTAAACATGATTATACAAACATTTTTATTCCTGTGATTTACCCCAAAGCCTATAGCTCAATTTAGAATGTAAGAGCGCCCAAAACAAGATGGTGTGGAGTGAATAATTTGCATACCAGAACCGTATCTGTATGGACAAGGACTCATCAAGCAGAAAAAGGATAAACCAAAACATGTTGGGACTGTCTGTCCGTCCAGCCAACAGTCGATGATCTTTTTAAGGGATTTTGTCTTTCTATGTGGCTTCAGCTTTTTTTTTTTTTTTCTCAGTAGAGAAATACAACCTTCCCCTCAGGTTTTATCTATTCAGCAAACTATGATTACTTGGCCAATCTTTCAGCGCGCACTGAAACGCTGAGCTTTTGCTTTAGCTCATCGAACCCCCCACAACTGCCGTTTGAGTGCTGGCTCAGCCAGTTACTGGCATGGCTCTGGTCAAGTTAGTTAGACTCTCTAAACCTTATTTCCTGTTGTGTAACATGGAGTCCTCCAAATTCAGCTCACATCGATGTGACTGGGGGATCAGATGAGATAATGCACGTGAACCTTTCACACAGTGCCTGGCACAGTTGTAATCACTCGATAGGTACCGGCTTTCATTAGCATTGCTGTCACACCCACGCACACCACGGGGGTGTGCATGGTTTGGAAAGGGAGGGCCTCTTGCCTTTACTTAGGTGAATTTACCTCAACCAGACTCCTTCCAACATATAAAATTCTCCTGTGGAGTCTAGGGTTAGATGAATTCATTTTGTAGCAACTCTGCATGTCTGCCGTGGGTGCTGAGGATTGCCCAGTATTTACTATTTCCGGTTATTTTTCCAGTCAACAAGTACTTATAGAACACCTACGTTGAGGCAGGCTCTGTGCTAGAAGCGGTGAGCGCAGAAGGAAAACAAGATAGTCTCAGACATTACCTTCTAGTTGTGAGAAAAAAAAAAATGCATCATTCATGAACTTCAACATCTTCATGTGCGGAAATAGAATATGTGAATCGATCTACTGAATTACATAGTAACGGAGCAATCATTCCAGAAATTGTGGGGATCATATATGTATAGGCTCTCTCCTCTTGGTTGACAAATTGTATGCATGTATGTTTGTATGTGTGTATGTCTGGAAGTATCTATCTATCCATCCACCCACAACTCAGACACATGTCAAATAATGGATATGAACAATTGAATAATATCTTCTCTATTTTCTTTTAGAACTCCCTGCTATTAATTCTACAGAAGCTTCGCTGAAAGATGAAAATGGTAAGTTTTTGTATGTGTGTGCCTTTATGTTATTCTATGGCATTTTTTCCTCCCAATCAACTTAACTGTTGAACTTCCCTGACTTCAGGTAGAAATCTCACATTGGCAGGATCTTGCAAAATAGACTGACTGATAATTTAAGTCAGTCCATCGTTTCCCAGGAGCCATCTTCACATCTTTGTGGGTTTGGGATTGAGGGGACTATATAACTTAGGGGTGCAGTGAGGGGCTCCGAAGTCTTTCAGCAACAGATTTCACTCATTTCTGTGGTCCTTGTTTCTACTGTCTGAGGAAAACAGGATATTGAGTTGCTTTTTTTTTTTTTTTAAGTCTTTGTTTTTGTTCATAGTTAATAACATGAACTGACATTAAGAGGTTCTTGTACAGAAGGCATTGTGTTACTGTGAGTGCATTTTGTTTAATTCTCCTAATACTCACTATGAAGGATTTCATTCACATTTTACGCATGAGGGCAATGAGCTAAAATGAACTAAGTCCCTTGCACCACATCGCACAGCGGGATCTGAGGCCTCAACATGGACCATCTCAGTCAACAATTGATATGCTTACTTAGTTTGCTATTCTACCTGTAAGATGTAGTCACAGAGCAAGAAATCCCAAAGCCAGGCACCCGTGGGGATGGGTGTGAGTGCAGGGCTTCAAGGGCCACAGACTGGACTTTAACCCCAGTCTTTTAATTATTTGTGCATGAATATGGGTACATTACTTGCATTTTCTGAGCCAACCGGGAATAACACGAACAACACCTCAGTTATGAAAGACATAGGGTCACATGTGGCAAATGTCTAGCATAGGGTATCTCATTTACCTGACGCATGGTAAGTACTGGTTTCTGGCCCTTTCTCCCATGTATGTATAAGAAAGTGACGAGGAGCATTGTCTCCAGCCCTGCCGATCTGCCTTCCATGTCCAATATCGAGGGGCCTCTGGACCTTAGGTAACATATTACCTGACCAAAGGCGTGGAGCTATGAACACATCATCTCTCAGGGTCCCTTTCCACACACCAAGGGCTAATGATTCTGGAGTTCTTACTCTTTGGAGACTACTTTTTTCCACTTTATTTCATTTTATTATTATTTTTTAAAAAATTTTATTTAAGTTCCAGTTAGTTAACATACAGGGTAAGAGTAGTTTCCGGTGCACAATATAGTGAGTGGTTCAACACGTCCATACATCACCCGGTGCTCATCACAGCCAACACCCTCCACTAAAACCTCCCTTCCAACCTGCTATGAACACAACCAAATTTCCATGGACTGTACCGTTAGTAGGAACTTCATTAACGAACAATGTGTGATGACTAAGGTGCTTCTAAATCAGCAATTTATCTTTACACATAATCTTAACTGTTTGTTGGGGGTATTTGTAACCTGTGGAGGTGCAGAATCAGAGTAGGTAAGAATGTGTTCTCGAACATTATGTTGCTGGGATTAAAATCTGGCTTGTATTTACTAACTGTATGACATCAGATAAATTACTTCTCTGTCCTCAATTTATCTGTCAAATGGGAATGAAAATAATAATCTCCTAGGTTATTGAAAACTTAAGTAAGATTAAAGCTTTGCCCTCAAAACTCTCAAATCAAATGTTTGTTTGGTATTTAGTTAGTGGTTAATGCATATTAGCTATTATGGTAGCTTATAGACATGGTGGGGGTGAAGAAATGGCAAAAGCTACTTATCACGAATGCTTTTTGCAGGGTGACTCATTCATCTAAAACATAACCTTGCTTTTTAAGACTTTGGAATGTACTAAGTGAATTTCACAGAAGTTGTTGATTCACTTGACCCACAAGCTGGATTCTGGGTTGTCTT